ATTTTTTGATGCGTTCGTTCCGCACAATTGGTTTGCAGCGATCGACCTGAAGGAAGTGTACTTTCATGTTTCGATCCTCCCTCGACACAGGCCGTTTCTCCTCTTTGCGTTCGAGGGGCGAGCATATCAGTACAAAGTCCTCCCCTTCGGGCTGTCCCTGTAGCCTCGTGTCTTCACCAAGGTCATGGAGGCAGCCCTCGTTCCATTGAGGGAAATAGGCATTCACATTCCCAACTACCTCGACGACTAGCTCATACTGGCCCAGTCTCGAGCACAGTTGTGCAAACACAGGGACGAGGTACTCAGCCACCTCAGCCGGTTGGGGCTTCGGGTCAACTGGGAAAAGAGCAAACTCTCCCCCGTGCAGAGGATCCCTTTTCTCAGTATGGAGTTGGACTCGGTCAATCTAAGCGCGCCTCTCAATAGAACGCGCTCAGCCGATGCTGAACTGCCTGGAGTCATTTCAGCACAGGAGGGCGGTTCCACTGAAACAGTTTCAGAGGCTCCTGGGGCATATGGCATCCGCTGCCGCTTTCACGCTGCTCGGATTGCTTCATATGAGACCGCTTCAGCATTGGCTTCACGACCGAGTCCCGAGATGGGCATTGCAACGCGGCACTCACCGGGTCTCAGTCACTCCGCCCTGCTGCCAGACCATGGTCGGACCTTGCCTTTCTTCGGGCAGGAGTTCCCCTAGTGCAAGTGTCCAGGCATGTTGTTGTCTCAACAGATGCCTCTGCCATAGGCTTGGGTGCCATGTGCAAAGGGCGTGCAGCATCGAGCACCTGGACAGGGCCTCGTCTGCAGTGGCATATCAATTGCCTAGAGTTGCTAGCAGTATGGCTTGCTCTGCGCCGCTTCAAATCACTGCTACATGACAAGCACGTACTGGTCCGGACGGACAATACTGCGACCGTTGTGTACATCAACCACCAGCGCGGTCTACGCTCCCGTCGCATGTCGCAACTCCTTTGGAGTCAGAAGCATCTGAGGTTTCTTTGCACCACTCACGTCCCAGGCGAGCTCAATCATGCAGCCGACGAGCTCTCACGTCAGCCCGCCCTTCCGGGAGAATGGCGGCTCTACCCCGAGACAGTCCAGCTGATCTGGAGACGCTTCGGGGATGCTCAGGTAGAGCTGTTTGCCTCTCTGGACATGTCCCACTGCCAGCTGTTCTACTCCGTTTCCCCCAGTGAGCCTTCTCGCACAGACATTGTGCAAGGTCAGGGAGGATGAGGAGCAGGTCCTCTTAGTAGCGCCATACTGGTCCAGTCGGACTTGGTTCCTAGAACTGATCTCCTTTCTCAGAGAGGGGGCACCCTCTGGCACCCACGCCCAGACCTGTGAAATCTCCATGTGGGTTCTCTGGACGGGACGCGGAAGTTCTAGGTGGTCTACCTCCAGCGGTAGTCAACACCATCACTTCAGCTAGAGCGCCCTCTATGAGGCACGCCTACGTGCTGAAGTGGAACCTATTCGTTGATTGGTGTTCTTCCCGGCAGGAAGACCCCTGTAGATGCCCGATCGCGGTCGTGCTCTCCTTTCTGCAAGAAGGGCTGGAGCGAAGGCTGTCTCCCTCCACCCTCAAAGTGTATGTTGCCGCTATCGCCGCACATCACGATGCAGTAGACGGCAAGTCTGTTGGGAAGCACGACTTGATCATCAGGTTCTTTAGGGGTGCCAGGAGGTTGAATCCTCCGCGCCCCCACCTGGTTCCCTCTTGGGATCTCCCCTTGGTCCTGACAGCTTTGAAGGAGGAGCCCTTCGAACCTCTGCAGTCAGTAGAGCTTAAGTTTATGTCGCTAAAGACAGTGCTCCTCACTGCATTGGCTTCGGCCAAGGGGTTTGGGGACCTGCAGGAATTTTCAGTCGACGATTCGTGCCTTGAATTCAGACCGGCCAACTCTCACGTTGTCCTGAGACCCCAGCCTGGTTATGTGCCCAAAGTTCCCACCACGCCTTTCAGGGATCAGGTGGTGAACTTGCAAGTGCCAGAGATGGGCACTCGAGTTAGTGACTCGGACTCGAGTTGCACTCGAGTCGCATTTTTTTAGACTTCAGACTTGACTCAGCCTCGACCTGAAATGACTCCAGACTTGACTCGACTCAAGGAAAATAACTAGAGTCTTTTATCCTTAAATACTTATATAACTGATATTCAAAAGTCGGACCACATCCACACCCCGGCATCCATCCGGACCGCAAGCCGTGACACCATAAGTGAACAGCGCTTCAAAACAACGGAGCAGATCACATAACAAGTGCTCAGGGTCGTTTGTGGTAAATATCTTTCAGTGCTATATACTCTAGTATTTTTATCCAAAGCCAAACGCGCTTTATTCAAGCCCTTTCAGCTCCGTGCGCTTTCTCTCTCTCTCGCTCTCTCTCTCTCCGGACGCGCGCCGGCGCCAAGTTTAGAGCTGCAGGTGACGAGGTTATTTAAACAACAACAGAAACAACAAATCACAGCAGAAAACAACGATGCAGCAAATATAGTTATTTTTCATACTATCTATTTACCTATCTATAACCTATGACGCTGACTGTTCAAACCAGATGTGACAATATGTTTCTGATCTACATTTAGCATTATTAATCTGTAGGCTAAGAACATTTAAAAAGAATCATGTAATTATAATTGGGAAAACTGTTGTTAGATGGCTAGGATAGAACTTAAACTTTGAAATTGCTGGTTATCTTTCTTTTCTGCTCAAGATGAGAATGTTTTGATTATTGTAGCTACTTTGTTTTTAGATAATGCTTTTATGTAGGCTAAAATATTAAAATAGTATAGATTTGCAGGAGGAAAACCCTGAACAGAAACAGTATTTTTTTCTGTCACATGGCCTCGCATATATCTAAATGTAAAAATGCAATACATGTTAAAAAAAAAATTATATCCTGTATATAGAAAAAAATATAGAGGCCGCGGCTTGGAACTTTAATTGAATACCCCTGACTTATCTAATAAAGAAATACTTAACTTGTATGGTTTTGTAATATCTGTGTCACATATTTCCTTGTGTGCCATGGTAGATCGGACTCTTATTATAGAATTTCATTACAGAAAAACGGTTTTGAACATGGTAATGGATTAAAACATAGCCTATAAATAACAGGTTGGATGTACAATAAACTTACATCTTAACACCTCTTTTTTTTCCTTTTTTTTTTTTACAAAGCAGATCATAGAATATATATTTTGTCTATAGCCTATAAAACAGCTTCGTAAATAAGACGATTTCAATACAATAGGATTCTGAATAAGATTGTATATATTGTATATAAAAAAGTCATTTAATTTTTTTAGCAAGCCATTAAATGACTTGAGACTCAACTTGAGACTCGACTCAGACTCATGGCCAAAAGACTCGAGACTTGACTCAGACTCCAGCGACAAAGACTTCAGACTTGACTCAGACTCCAGGTTAAAGACTTCAGACTTGACTCGGACTCCAAGTTAAAGACTTGTGAACATCTCTGGCAAGCGCTGCCCTGGGAGGAGGCAGACCCAGCCGTTGCTCTGCTCTGTCCCGTTCGCGCTTTGCGCATTTACGTGGACCGCACGCAGAGCTTCAGGACCTCAGACCAGCTCTTTGTCTACTTTGGAGGACAGCAGAAGGGAAAGGCTGTCTCCAAACAAAGACTTGCCCACTGGATAGTGGAGGCTATAGTCTTGGCATACCAGGCCCAATGTTTACCGTGCCCCCTCAGAGTTAGAGCACACTCTAAGAGAGGAGTGGCATCTTCTTGGACATTGGCGCAGGGCGCCTCGATAGCAGACATCTGTAGAGCTGCTGGCTGGGCGATACCTAACACGTTTGCGAGATTCTATAATCTCCATGTAGAGCCTGTGTCCTCTCATGTACTTGCCTCAGATGGTCAGTAACACTGGACCTGCTCTGTGTCAATCCCGCTTGCTGCGCCATTCCTCTCTATGGACCGGATACATGCGCTTAAGTGCTTCTCAGTTCAGGTTCCCTTTTCGGGAACCCTGTTGAAGTTCCTCTCGCACCCTCGGCGGTCAGGCATGGCAGAGCGCCAGACGCCAGGTCCAGCACTCATGTGTATGCCCAAGGTCAGCCCTTGTTTTGGGCTAGGTGCCCGTGTGTAGTGATTCCCCCTTCGGGTAATCCCACATGTGTATTCTTCCACGGTACGCTTCCCTCACGGTAAGCCCGTGTCTTTCCCTGGCAGAGTCCTTCTGGCGTCTCTGCTGTGTATTGATCTCACCCCAGGTTGGCTGAGTCTACCACAGGGACTTCCATATGTAGTACTGCCCTATGGCCAGTCCATATGTGTAACTTCCACATGATGCCTCCTTTATGTAGGATGTGGCTTCCGTAGTGTTCCCCTACTGGGTATGCTTTCCCAGTGTTATCCAATTCCCACTGTATGGAACAGCAGTGGCGGACACCTCTGCCTAAGCCCTGTCCTATCTTCTGCCCCAACTGGTGTGGGGGGACTTGCCGGCGTTCACAGGGCACTGGAGGGGGTCAGCAATAGTGGTGTTTGTCGGTACTGATGTAACATCGAACGTGACTGACTGAAAGGGAACATCTTCATTATGTATGTAACCCTCGTTCTCTGAAGGTGGGAATGGAGATGTTGCGTTCCGTCGCCACAGTTGCTGTACCACCGCTGTATGGCCGAGGCACACAGTCTCGTCTCCTCAGCCAAAAAAAGGAGCTCTCCCGGGGCGGGGTGCGAGACGCAAAGATCACACGCCAACACTTATTGGCTTGTTTTGTTAACACTCGAAGGTGATTGGTCTCTCTAGCGAGATCCCAATTTGTCAGTCACTGACGTAACATCTCCGTTCCCTCCTTCAGGGAATGAGGGTTACATACGTAACTGAGACGTTCTTTGGAATGGAAAGTTTCCATGGATGTTAATGGTTTTTATTGGAACCATCGATGCAAATAAGGAACTTTGAAATTTAAGAGTATGTATGGAACGTTGTTTCAAAAATATTCATACCATTTTTATGTCTCATCCAGCTTGAAAAGGCACTGACCTACGAGAAGCTCATGGAGTGGACCAAACCCAGCAAGATGCGTCGACAGGAAGTCCAAGTATCTTTGCCCAGATTCAAAATGGAGGAAACCTATGACATGAAGAGTCTTCTGATCAGCATGGGAATGGAGGATGTGTTTGATGGGCAGAAGGTGAATCTTTCAGGCATGTCGCCTAACAACGACCTGGTGGTGTCAAAGGTGATTCATAAAGCCTTCGTTGAAGTAAACGAGGAAGGAACCGAAGCGGCTGCAGCCACCGGTGCTGTCATCGCCATACGTTCATTTGCACAGATGTTCATTGCAGACCATCCCTTCCTTTTCTTTATCCGACACAATCCCTCCAATAGCATCCTGTTTTACGGACACTTCTGTTCTCCTTGAAGATGGTAATGATGAAGTGATGATTCTAGCTGTACTGTATGTGTTCCTCTAATAAATAAAGTCTGGTAAATAATTGAATGAAATTGTCTGTATGCATTTACTTTGAAAGCACTGACTCCTGAGTTCTGAAACAAAAGTTACAGAACTAAAAAAATATTTTAGGAGACAGACAGACTCTAGTAAATAATTGACTTAAATAGCCACTCTAACAGCATCATCAGGTTTTATTTAAATGCATTGGCATAGTTATATACAATACATTTATTAGACTACATGAATATTATATACTATAATTATATCACATATGAACAAGGCATTTCATTTGGCATGTATCCACAAATCATGATTATTTCATATGAGACATACTTTCAACCGACATCAGCTATATTACATTATTGGGTTTTACACACTTTATGATTAAGTGTACAAACACAGTCCATTTAATTTGTAGTTTTGCTCACCTCTAAAATATTTAATCAGCTAAATGTTGCTCTTTACAACTAAACTAAAAACAAGATTCTTATTTACAATAATGAATTAGCTGAATTTGGTATTTAAATATGGGAAAAACTTTTCATACTAGAGATATAAATATTCATAAAAAAAAAAATTTAATCCATACATATATTGAATGTATTGTCATTAATGGCATTAGAACCCCCTTCTGGTGAACAAACTCATACTTATATACAGAAACTTGTGTTGCAGGTCTGTTGTGGTAGTAGAATGAAAATAAATAAATAAATAAGGTCTCTAGCAAATAATTACTTTAATGGCCACTGCAGTTACATCATAAGTTTTGCTCTCAATTCACTGGCATAATTATATACAGTGCATAATTATTAGGCTATATTTATATTACATATCACATATGAAAAAGGTGTTTCATGAGGCATGTATCCACAACACATGACCTGTTTTACGCAACCAAACATCCAACATGCCCACATAGTAAAAACTACATAGATCACGATCACTACATGAAGTGTTAATAACTGTAACTGTAACTAAACGTCATTTAGAAAAGCAGTTGTTCTTGGGGTGGAGTGGCAAGGACAGTTATTATATTTCATTTTGTTTTTTAACACGTTTTCTAAAAAGTTTCACAGTGACACCTACTTCCAACCCTCATCAGCTAATCCGTTATTGATTTGTACATTATGATTAATGTAAATATGATTCATCTTTCTTGGATTAAGCTTTTGTTTCTTGCACCTACACACTCTTTTATTTGATTTCAAGTTACTATAAACAAAGAGTGAAATGAAGAATGAATCATGTAAGTGGATAAATAAATCAAATAATATTAGAAACAAATTATGTTTTTACAGGAAGGTCGGACTTGGATTAAAAACTAACTGTTTTAGGGCGAGGCATCATTTATTAGACTGACACCCATAACTGTTAATTCATTCGACTCAGTCATGCTGGGAAACTTAATCATTGCATAGAACTAACAAGATCTGTCCACCTTCAAATCTGCTGTTATTTAAACAACCGCTATTTCTTGCTTGTTTCAAAAATATTCATACCATTTTTATGTCTCATCCAGCTTGAAAAGGCACTGACCTACGAGAAGCTCATGGAGTGGACCAAACCCAGCAAGATGCGTCGACAGGAAGTCCAAGTATCTTTGCCCAGATTCAAAATGGAGGAAACCTATGACATGAAGAGTCTTCTGATCAGCATGGGAATGGAGGATGTGTTTGATGGGCAGAAGGTGAATCTTTCAGGCATGTCGCCTAACAACGACCTGGTGGTGTCAAAGGTGATTCATAAAGCCTTCGTTGAAGTAAACGAGGAAGGAACCGAAGCGGCTGCAGCCACCGGTGCTGTCATCGCCATACGTTCATTTGCACAGATGTTCATTGCAGACCATCCCTTCCTTTTCTTTATCCGACACAATCCCTCCAATAGCATCCTGTTTTACGGACACTTCTGTTCTCCTTGAAGATGGTAATGATGAAGTGATGATTCTAGCTGTACTGTATGTGTTCCTCTAATAAATAAAGTCTGGTAAATAATTGAATGAAATTGTCTGTATGCATTTACTTTGAAAGCACTGACTCCTGAGTTCTGAAACAAAAGTTACAGAACTAAAAAAATATTTTAGGAGACAGACAGACTCTAGTAAATAATTGACTTAAATAGCCACTCTAACAGCATCATCAGGTTTTATTTAAATGCATTGGCATAGTTATATACAATACATTTATTAGACTACATGAATATTATATACTATAATTATATCACATATGAACAAGGCATTTCATTTGGCATGTATCCACAAATCATGATTATTTCATATGAGACATACTTTCAACCGACATCAGCTATATTACATTATTGGGTTTTACACACTTTATGATTAAGTGTACAAACACAGTCCATTTAATTTGTAGTTTTGCTCACCTCTAAAATATTTAATCAGCTAAATGTTGCTCTTTACAACTAAACTAAAAACAAGATTCTTATTTACAATAATGAATTAGCTGAATTTGGTGTTTAAATATGGGAAAAACTTTTCATACTAGAGATATAAATATTCATGAAATTTTTTTTTTAATCCATACATATATTGAATGTATTGTCATTAATGGCATTAGAGCCCCCTTCTGGTGAACAAACTCATACTTATATACAGAAACTTGTGTTGCAGGTCTGTTGTGGTAGTAGAATGAAAATAAATAAATAAATAAGGTCTCTAGCAAATAATTACTTTAATGGCCACTGCAGTTACATCATAAGTTTTGCTCTCAATTCACTGGCATAATTATATACAGTGCATAATTATTAGGCTATATTTATATTACATATCACATATGAAAAAGGTGTTTCATGAGGCATGTATCCACAACACATGACCTGTTTTACGCAACCAAACATCCAACATGCCCACATAGTAAAAACTACATAGATCACGATCACTACATGAAGTGTTAATAACTGTAACTGTAACTAAACGTCATTTAGAAAAGCAGTTGTTCTTGGGGTGGAGTGGCAAGGACAGTTATTATATTTAATTTTGTTTTTTAACACGTTTTCTAAAAAGTTTCACAGTGACACCTACTTCCAACCCTCATCAGCTAATCCGTTATTGATTTGTACATTATGATTAATGTAAATATGATTCATCTTTCTTGGATTAAGCTTTTGTTTCTTGCACCTACACACTCTTTTATTTGATTTCAAGTTACTATAAACAAAGAGTGAAATGAAGAATGAATCATGTAAGTGGATAAATAAATCAAATAATATTAGAAACAAATTATGTTTTTACAGGAAGGTCGGACTTGGATTAAAAACTAACTGTTTTAGGGCGAGGCATCATTTATTAGACTGACACCCATAACTGTTAATTCATTCGACTCAGTCATGCTGGGAAACTTAATCATTGCATAGAACTAACAAGATCTGTCCACCTTCAAATCTGCTGTTATTTAAACAACCGCTATTTCTTGCTCAGCTCGTGAAAATGGAGCGTTTATCTGCAGCAAACACACAGTTCTCTCTAAACCTCTTCAAGAAGATCAACGGAGGAAATGCATCAGGAAATGTGTTCTACTCTCCTGTCAGCATCTCCTCGGCTCTCGCCATGGTGTTGCTCGGAGCAAAAGGGGAAACAGCAGCACAGATGTTAAAGGTGATCTCACATTTATATGCTTTTTTATGGCCAGTTGTTCAGAATTTAATATAGCAGTTTCTGATTGGCATCTGTGGTGAAGAAACAATAACATGGAAACTTTCGATTGCACAAAAAGGTCCTTCAGATTTTTCAAATGCATTCCACATTAGGTATAAAGAAAAAATGAAAAATGAAAAAAAATGCTTCTATGGCATCATTGCAATTAAAAAACAATCAAACAAAACAATAGATGTTGAAGTTATCAAAATAGTGAAGTAGTTACCTTTATCAATTGACTGATGCTGTGTAGGTTTTGGGTTTTAACAATTCAGCCAAGCCTGATGCCGTGACTCCAGCACCTCATCAACAAGCCCAGAAGCCCCAGATGCCCTGCGGCATCAAGGGTCAACATGAACCAACAATGACGCAACAAACCCAGAAGTTTGAGATACCTGCCGAACTCAAGGTTTAGTATGAGTATTTACATGAAACACTAACCTCACGACTTTATAATTGCAATGTACTTGCCATAGTGGTGCATGTAGTCTTGGGGATTAAATTTGATATTGTTGATACAAACAGAAATCTCCTGCTCAGCCCACACCTGGACAAAAAACTGAGGACCAAATTCATTCCAGCTTCAACAAGCTCATGAGTGAACTGAAGAAACCAGGAGCGCCGTATGTGTTGAGTCTTGCCAACCGCCTCTACGGAGAGCAATCCTACCAGTTTGTTGAGGTAAGACTCACTGGAGGTTCTGGAAATGTTCTCAACTCTAATTTCATTTGCACCTCAATCGATTTGCAATGTTGCAGAAATTCCTCAATGACGCAAAAATATACTATGAAGCCGGACTGGAGGAGGTGGACTTCAAGAAGAAATCAGAGGCTGCACGTGTCGACATCAACAAATGGGTGGAGAAAAACACTCAAGGTGAAAACCAGCATGAACATAATTTGAATTTTACACAGTCTGCACTCTTACAAAAATATGTAGGTCTATTTCAGCACTTTAGGCTCATGTTTGGCTTCATGTGCTCTTGCTGAACTGTATAATACTTGGGAAGTTTAAGTTTTGATATACTTTCAGTGGTTTTGTTTATTTTGGCCATTAAGTTTGCATTTTCATTAGAACTGTCATGAGCTTTAATTGACAGATGCTTTAATAGTGTTTTGATTTAGATTTTCATTTTGTAGAGATTAATTCGATTCATTTGTGTGAATCGCTTCGAATCAATGCTTAAAGTGTAAAATGTCCATTTGAATTTCAGAGAAGATCAAGGACTTGCTCCCACAGGGATCCATCGATGCGATGACGAGACTGGTCTTGGTGAACGCCATCTACTTCAAGGGGAACTGGGAGAAGAAATTCCCAAAGGAAGCCACCAGAGATGAAC